AAGATGTCTGTATGACAAGACTTGAACTCAAAAAGACTCACATTATCCTTAGACTGGATAATCGATCCTAATGTTGCTGTTCGGACGTTGGACGGACACTAACGTCGTCGCTCGAACGTCCGAATGGCTAACCTTTTACACCTTAATCCATGTTGATTTGATTATATGGATGACATCCACTGGGAATCTCAAAACTAATGTGAGCGTGTAACTAAAAAAACGTTTTGCAAAAAAACAAATTGAATGTTGCTTTCATTAATATAAAATCTATGTGGTCATGAAGGTTGAACAAATGACACAGTATAGTATAGCGAATAATCTACTCTTCAAATTTCTTTACATTTTCGTCTTTCATTTGATTTTGGCACTCTATGACATTGGTATCGTTTTCCAATATTTTTTTTTTGCAACTTATATAATTACTGTTTATATTTGCTAATTTTGCAACTGTTCTGTACAATTTACAGTATGGCCAAAAAATCATGCACATGCAGATGTCATCCATATCATAATCAAATCAACATGGTCTTATCTACACACCTTTCCTACAACTCTACTACAGAATTGTGTTGGGAACTCAGTAGTAGCCAGACAGCTTCAGACAGCTGGCTGTGGTGTCCACTCCCCCAGGAACTCTATTCCTAGAGTACCTGTATATGGAAAAGGGAAACAGACGTGCTCATATACATGAAATCACATCATATTGTTATTTCATATAACTAAATGACAGAATGTAAAATAAAACTACTGATAAACAAGAGATTTATAAATAATTAAATTTTGGTGCCATGTAAGTTAATGCACACTCACATGCAAAATTGGAAAATACATGTACCTATGGAAGCATGTGTACCAGAACAGGTGTGTATTTATTAGGTGCATTAGGTAATATTAATTTGATTGATGTGCAAATATATATAGTGCAGTCTAATGTGCACACATCTTGTCAGTTGGAATTCTATCAAATTACAGTCTGCACAAGAGACCCTGGAGTAGAGTATATGCCTAACACATGTATATTAGAATAGGAAGTGTCTATTAAAGATCATCCTGTCAAAAGTGCATTTTTCTGTTATTGACAGGATTGTCCTGCCAATAGTGCAGGTTTTCCACTATTGACAGGATGGACCTGTCAATGGTTAACCAATATTATTTATATAACTCACATCAGTGTCTCCAATGTCGGGTGTTCCTCAGCAGCCTGCACCACAGCCTGGAACCCTGCAGGCTCCATGGAGATGTGCCATAGGTTCAGCTGCTCCAGGGCAGGGAGTCTGGGTAGAGCCTCAGCCAGATCCATGGCAGCAGTGTCAGACAGGTGTGCAGGTTTGTGTGGGTAACCAGACATGTGCAGCCTCCTCAGTGCCGGCAGTGTGCTGATGAGCTGTATGACCCTCCCCAGTCCAGCTCCTGTTACTCCACTATTCCCCCGAATGTACAGCTCCTGTAGTGTGGTGTTATGGTGAGGGGCTGTGGTCAGACTCTTGTCACCAGGTGGGTTTTGTTTCCTGTCCAAATTGCTGGGTCGACAGAGTGTTTGCACCAGTGAGACAATCCCCGAGTCTCCTATGTTATTGTGACTCACATTCAACACCTGTAATTGCACCAGGTGAGGCATAGCTTTGATCAGGGATGATATTCCCCTGTCACTGATACCTGTCTGACTGAGGTTCAACACCTTCATGGTTGTGAGGTGGTGGAGGATAGCAGCCAGGCATTCCAGCCCGGGGTCTCCTATGGCATTTCCACTAATGTCCAGTCTGATCAGTCTGGTTAACTTACACAGTGCAGGGACCAGTGTGCGCATGCCTGTGGGGCTGATACAGGTCCCACTCAGGTCCAACACCTGCATGGCAGTGAGGGTGTGGAGGACGGTGGTAAGAGATTCCAGCCCAGTGTCACCAATCTTATTATTACTTATATCCAACTCTCTCAGTCCCACTAGATGTCGCATGTAGGGAGCCAGGGATGTCATGCCCACAGCTGTCATGTTGACATACCTAATACGGAGTACAGCCAGGTGTGGAACACTGGACAGCCCAACCTGTAGGACTTCCATGCCAGCATTACCAAGGCATGAGTTGAAGTCAAGATTCAGCTCCTCTAACAGAGACATGTGTCTCAACCCCTGCACAAGTGGCCGGAGTGATGATGGTGTTAAATTTGTATTTGACAGACCCAGCTCCCTCAGACAGGGAACATTCTTCAAAACTGAAGCCAGCTTGGCTGTCAGATCAGGTGAGTCAAACTGTCCCCATAGTCTCAAGTCCAATCTAAGTCCAGGGAGTGAAGTTGTAAAACAGTGCTGTAGGTACTGTACTATGTCTCTGTCAGTGCTTCTATGGATCTCAAGTATGAGCCTGTCTGGCAGGTTTGATGAATGAAGATTTTGTATGTAATACTTGAGACCTGTGGCTCCCCTACTGTTAATGGAGCTGTCCACTTGCAGCATGACAACTGGAAGGGCTTGACTGATACCCTGAAGCACTTCTGGTTCTTGTCTCTCACTAAGGATGTTCAGGCACAAGTGTGCAAACCTTTCATAGGTTTTGCAAGACTTTCGCATGTTTTGATCCACTGGCACAATGGCACAAGTTTCGAAATGTTCTGGTTGCAAGTGTGTGAACTCTCTGCTGCTGAGCTTGATTAGTTCCTCCATCATAGCTTGTGCTGCCTGTGAGTCACAGCCACATGTGAACTGAATCAGGTTACTGAGTTCAAGTGCCTTGCTTATGGAAGTGAGCTGCAGCAGCTCAACTATGTCTTGGTTCACTCGAGCATGAGCTACATATCGTCCGGCCAGGAACTCTTGCATGGTCTTGTGTGAAAAGTTCAGCTGTTTCCTAGGATGCAATTTCGAGGAAGAAACCTCCAAGGAGACCACACCAAGCTTTAACAGTAACTCCCAATTAACCTTTTCTCTCTCTACTTCCGTAAGGTCAAGCAGGGTCTCATTCCTCAGCAGTGCTTCTAGTGCAAGCTTGCCGAGCTGCAGTAATGACTCAGCAACCTCTGTAGGCAGCCCTTCTGTTGGCATGTCCACTCCTTCCCGCTTACAGCACTTTCTGACCAGACATGTCAGCAGGTTGTCGTACAGCCCCATCATTGTTCCAGTAGACACTATCTCTTGGTCCTCCTCCCACAGCAGACAGACCAACAGCAGAAAAATTGGGGTTTGGATTAGGTTGTTTACAAGTTCGTTATCCTTCAGAGCCAAAGCAGATGTTTTATTTTCTACTTTCTGTGTGTGTGAGTGAATGAAATGTTGCCCAATGAAATCCTCTGCCTGCTCAGGGCTTTCTGTGCTGAGGAAATATTTTCTCACGTATTGTGCTGCATGCTCAGGGGAGAAACCCATGATGTGTATGTGACAGTCTGGCCGGGTGTACTGCTGCACTCCTGCTGAGGGTCGGGAGGTGATCACAATCGTGCTGTTGGGGTACATCTTGCCAGACAGCAGTTTGGGAATGGCCTGCCCGGCTGCCCTGGCCTCAGGCCGCAGCTCATCATACCCATCTAGGAGGAAGAGCACATGGGACTCGTTTCTCTCAAGAATCGCTTCAATGTACTCTACATTAACATCTTTTCTTTTGGGAACACACTGGTCCCACACCATCTCCTCTATGGTCTCCCCCTCTCTCACCTCCCGGAGTCGGATCAACAGGACGATGTTGTGCCGTCTGCCCAGCTCTGTTTTCTGTGAGACGGCATCTAGGGCTTCTTTGGACAAAAACATTGTCTTCCCCCCTCCAGCTTCACCCTCAATCAGAATGCACCTTGGTGCTGTGGACAGTCCTGTGACATCTGGCTTGAACAAGTCATCTAATGACTTAAGTTCTTTTCTCTGTTCTCCCCTCATGGATTCTGACCTTTTCTGTTTTTCACTTTTTGGTATCAACTCTAAGTGTGTGAAGATGTCACTGAGGCTAAGTGTGAAGTTGTCATTCCAGATCAGAGGCTTAAAGTGAGTCAGTTTCAACTCATAGTACTTCTTCAAAGACTGCTGGAAAAGATCTGGAATAGAAAGGATACCGTAAGACCTCACCCTCAAATTCAGTGTAAATGTAACTTATGCTATAATTACATAAAAATCATTTCAGCTTAAACTCATGGTTCTTGTTTCCTATTATGCTCACCAATCCCAGTTGTACCAAGGAGGTATTTTGGCTAATAGTTTTTGTACATTTTTTTAAAAATAGCTAAAGGCTTAAACAGTATGTTACAAAACCTGTTGTCAGTACAAACTTAGGCCCACTTTATACACAGATGTTTGTGACAGCGGCGATTTTTCCTGCCGCCACTGTCGGGATGTCTTTATACACACGGCCCAGAAGTCCCCAAGGAACACATTCAACTCAAGTTTGTCGACCCCTGCCACTACGGCTGTTGTTTTCCCGCGGATTTCTGTATGCAAGACACAGGTCACAGACTTTCCTTCTGATCTGATTGAGTTTGTGGACGTTTATCTAAAACATGGTGGGCAACTTATAGGGCTTATATTAGAGATTAGACGCATGAATAACAGCTTCTACAGTAGATGTATTCTACCCATTAATAATATTGCTTGTGGCCCACACAATAGGCTACAAGTACAAGTATATGGACTAGTATATAACGCATTATTGTCACTACCACAAAAATTGCTGTACATGTATCCCTTGGAGCCTCCCGTAGACAGAAAAAAAGGAGTAGTTACATTGTAGCCCATACTAATATCTAAACAGAGTGCCAAACAACAAATATGGCGAGTCTTCTCGGAAAAAGACAGAAATTTTTATATAACCCCTACCCTACATGTAGCTTTGTTCCCGCTGTTGTGAGCTCTTTATATGCACTTTTAAGTTGACAGGGACTCCCGCTGAACTGTCGGCCGACGACTTCGGAATTGTCAGGAGAAAATTTACTGACAGCAAAAAGCTGTGTATAAAGTGCGCCGTAGATGAGATTTCTATTGCATGTACATGTACATGTATTTCCAATGTGAATTTTGATACTGATACCTGTCTGATTGACACCTGTCACTGAAGAGGACTCTCTTCCTGCAGCTCCAACTGGAACTTCTGAATGTGGACAAATTGGGATTATTATAGGATGAGATTCTTTATTGACACAACAAAAAAGTACAGAGACTTTTGTATGGTCTTCTACAACTTAACTAAAGATCTAACAAAGCTACATACATGTGTGGATAACGTCATCTTACGTACAGAGTATATGTATGATGTAACAATAAAGGTTAACTATTCTCTAACATGTGGTCTCTAAGATCGAAACATTCTTTAATGTATTTTCCTATTTGAACACTGTATTGGTTATCTCCCCTGAGAATGTAATTGAATGTTTCTATAGGATCTAACGTATTGAAATCAATTGAACAAGCGGAAAGGAAGGTGAACAGCAATAGGCGCTTATCATTGTACTAGTGTACAATCCATTATAAAATGGTGCTCATTTTCAATCATGTTTGGACAAAATGGACAGAACCGTTGGTCATTTGGTATTTTCTTGTATCGACCCATTTCTAAGTATAATTTATGACAACTAATTCTTAATTTTGTGATCGCTTTTCGGATATCCAGATTGTGTATACTTGAGAGGTATTGTTTTTGTCCATAATTTTCCTTTAATGCGGTATAAACAGAAAGTTTTGCGTTGTTACTATATAACATTGTATCAAACTGTTTCTCTAAACATCAAAATTTGGGATTTGGGAATTACAGACAAGAAGATTTTAGGTTCTGTCACATATCACAGTGTTGAAATCCCTCAGACCATCTTTACTTTTGCCAGCCCCTTTCAACACCTCTTAAAGTGTTGACAAAAGAGAAGCAAGCAACAAGAGAACAGGTTTTTCAAAGAAGGTGCAACTAACTCAGTAGAGTAAAACTTAACAGACTATTCATAGCATGATATAGACAAAAGAATGGACTCATATGCATAATAATCATATGAGGAAGAGATCAATGCACTGTGTGAGAGTACAGAATACAGAGACTTCATACCTTGAAGACCATCCACAACACTCTGTAGGTTTGCGTTGCTCAGAGCCTCTCTCAGGACCTCTATGGTGGCTCTCTCTTCGTTACCCTTCAGCCATTCCTCCAACAGGTCCATACAGCGAGACTTGTCATCCCGATTTCTCCCATCGATGTTGTCCACATCTGGTCCTCGAAACCCAAGAAAGAAGGCCAGGTCCCTCCAATCTGAGCTCACGTTTTCCTTGATGTAGTAGAAGTACTTTTGAACATCTGCAAAACAACATAGAAAAGAAGTGTTACTGATATATGCCAGTGAGATAACACTCATTCATTCTTTCAATCATTCCCAGTTCCAACAATACTGTTACTACACTGTAGGGGTTGAAATAATTACTTAGCTGCATAATTGCAGGAAAATTACCTGTACCACTTGTTTTCCTTTGTGTTGATGGTCACAGACCCTAACTCTAACAGGTGCATACCTGCGCTGCTACAATATTTCATCTGTACCTATTTGTATATACTAGTATGTAGGTGGTATTTGCAGCCCTACTTACTGTGCCACAATATTATACAGGGCTCGAAATTCATTTTTGGGAATAGGAGCACTGGTACTGTTACATGTACATGTACACCCGACCAAAAAATTGGGTGCACAAAATTTTCTGTGGGTGCAGAATATAAGATAAAGTAAGTAGAATGTCAGCGAAAACTAATTTAATAAGTAATTATATTTTGTTTCTAAAGAAAAGTACGACAAGAATGATTTTACTATTTTTCTGACAGTTAGATGTTAAGAATATGCTGAATAATAGTACTGCTATAAATTTAACATCTTGACATATAAGTAAACCTACAAAAAACATTTGGGTGCACTGGTGCAACCACAGAAAACAAAAGGGGTGAACAGCTCCAAATTTGGGTGCACTTAGTCTAGGTTGCACATGCACCCAGTATTTTGAGCCCTGTTAATAGTGTTATACCATTAAAAAAAATTACATGTTACATGTACATGTATTTATATATTTAACGTCTCACCTTCTTGATCTCTACGGGGACCTGGTTTCTTCTTCACTGGAGACTGCTCTCCCTCCCCCTTCCTCTTCAGCTGGCTACTAGAGGGTCCAGGTGAACCTGTCTCAGAGAGATGGATTCACATATCAGTAATTATATCAACTCAGCCTCTGCAGTCACTGCTATCATGTGTACATTTAGTTCTCAGGATGGGCCTACGAAAAAAATGCTGTGTTTCCTGTTTGCCCTCCGACCCTAGATAAAACTGTCGATCCTAGTCTTTATTTTTGTGTGGATCCCTGCAAGGAACATGAATTTTTCAAGCTGACCAACTCAACTTTTTTTATCTGACACCTGAGAGATGAAATGTTTTACAATCAGTTTTCCAACATTGACATTGAACATATCAGTATCCTTATGCAAGTTTTACTTTATTAAACTGCTTTGTGTAAGTTGTCTTTATTGACACCTACACTGTTGGTCCAGAACAATGAAACATTCTCACCTGAGCAGCTGGGTGCAGCACCTTGTCCCTCGGCCATGATGACACAGGTGTCAGGAACAGGTGGGAGAGAACACCTGGAACAGAGAGGTGGGAGGTTACATCTTTAGGTAGTACCAGTTCTACTAAGTTCTGGTAGGTATTGGATCTATTGGCCTTCCTACATTATATGTGAGATATAAGAGAGATGAAACTCTCAACCTCCCTGCTCAGAGCCTTCAAACTGCGTCAAAGTATGAGGTTGGCACGTAGACGAAGAAGTCACGCGATGTGGGAACAACGACTTGGTAGGAAAATTTATCTTCTAAGTGAGGCTTAGGTTTAAAGAAAATCACATTGTTTTAAAAACTGGATGCTAGCCCATGCTATATTATTTCACCATAAAAGTCCAAAGCAAACTTTTATACGCAGGTCTCAAACTTTGCGGTGTTATTTTTTGATCTTTGTTTTTCCTAAACAACATTGCCGACAAATCTGGTGGATCTTGAGACACTGAACAGTCGACAGACGGGACCTGTACTTACTTTCTTCATGGATGTCACCAGAAAACGACTCCTTCTACTTTTGGAGCAGACTTCGACGCACTTTTTACTTCCTCTTTTTCGCCATTTTGGAACTAGGAACAGTTTATTCGACATTGGGGGTGGGATCTAAATCAAACTCAAATAAAAGACCATTTACGAAAATAAACAAAAGCCTTTTCGATTATTTTGAAGTATACTACAGTATTCAATATTATTTGCAAGCTCTTGAGCTGCGCAACCAGCTATAAATATAATACACTACGCTTTGATTCCTGCGAGGTAAAGAAAATGAACTGTTCCGTGAAGGTGCCACGCCAGTACAAGTTTTTGGCGGCGCCACAAGGGTGGTGCCTATAGGGTAGCGTTAGACTCAAGTTGAAGATATAAGAATGCCCTATAGCAAGGACATCATCCTTGCCTATATAATTCCCTAGGGAAGTAGGCTTGATCACACCTCATGGTTTTGTTAGTCTGTAGCTTAAACGTCATTTATGTGATTTTTGTGAGCAAAGGGGTCTTTTTGGAGTGATCAAAGCGAATCTCAGACTCAGTTCCTGCTTTTTTTTTACCAAGGAGTTTCACTTTCAAATCGAAAGAAATGGCGATTCTGTACATATAACTGTACTGTCTAAGGATTCATTTATTGATTCATTGACACTCATTCTTAACAACAGTTTGTTTTGGGACTACTCAGAACCTGTCATAATCATTTTGGCGACAACACCAAGTACAATTCCCAGTTTTTGTTTTACCGCTGACTACCATGGACCCCAGTCACGGGATAACTGGGCTGTGCACCGTTTAGTTGTTGTGTTCAGTTTTGGTGAATTATATGTTAGTCTGTAGCAGAGCGCCCTGCACTAGCGAGGCACTGTAAAAGTATAAAAGTAGGAGTGATCCGATCTCTGTCATTCTTGAGAAAGACTGAATAATGTCGAAACCGGTCGAATTCCGTCTCATCGTTGTCATCTTCCCATCGCCACGAATGATATGTTAGTCTGTACCTGTTCTCACGATTTGCGCACCATATATTTCGTATCTTCTACTGGTGTCTTATAAACGCAAAGGGTTTTCATTCATCCATCCATCCATTCAATTCATTCATCCACTCATCCATATGCAAGGAAGAACCCCTACTCTCATGCATAGGAGTGGTGAGTTCTTAATAACATGCACAAGGTGCATCACAAGAAACATACATCTCCCCTTTGTGTAGATTCTAAACTGAAAACGACGAAATGAAAACAGACTTTCTTAACCATTTCAAAAACCTTCATCGCATTTATTTCCTGTCTTCTTTTTGTTTTTACATCAACATCATTGAAATGTTTACTATCTGGATACAATGTCATAGTACCATCTGGTGCAAAAACATATCATTTCATCATCCAACTGTCTCAAATGTGGATAGTAGCTATTGGACTCTAACAGTAAGAAAAAGTTCAAAAATAAGTATCTGTTATTGTGTTGTGCACATCACTTTTCTAAACTACTCATCATCATCGAGTATACTTGTGACAGTTTAAAAGTTGTCATGTTGGACAACTTTTAAAAATTGGTCCCTTTTTTACACAATATAGGTGGACCCTTTTCCGGAAGTTCTGCTGCAGTTCCAAGGTCAGCCACATGGGCCCATATTTGACCTTGACCTTAATTGCCTTACATGACCTACAAACATACCAAATATCATCACAATCCATAAGGCGTTCTGAAGTTATGCCAACTACAAATGTGCGGAAACACACACACACAGACCAAAACCAATACCTCCATTTTTGATGGAGGTAACTAAACCAACACTGACAGTGACAGATAAAATATTACAATATTTGTACCTTCACATTGGAAATGGTCAAAGTACAATTAAATACTAAATAGATCACCTCAATGCCCTTACTCTAAGTGAATTTGGCATTAAAACTGCTTTGTTTAAATCATGACACCCTAAGCTGGTGTTGTTGGATGTACAATATGAACACACATACCCACTGGGTTAAGTACAGGTAACAACAAAAGGATGGAATACAGATAACGTTAAATATATACATCATCAAGTAGCTACAATTAAGTAAATTTGGTCTTCTCATTTCTTACAAATTTAAGGTATGTTACAATATAGAAGGTTTATCTAAGTTCATTAGAAATATAAATTTATCTGTTGAGCTTAGATGTATGAATATATCGAAGGGGAACATGGATTGTATCAGATTATAGTTAGTAGTAGATTATAGTTAGTAGTAGATTATAGTTCTACTCTCTCTTTGTTGTATAGTTTACATTCTATTACAAAATGTTTTTCATCATGTATAAGAGCTGTGTCATGAATTGAATAGCATACATATATACAGCAAAAACGTCTAAGGTATAAAACATAGCACTCTATTGAAGTTGAATCAGGTAACATCTGTGTCCATAATATCACCAGAGTCCATGATATCGCCACCTTGAGAAACAGTGTGCTTGAAGATATTTTTACTGCAACATACTTTTGGTATGCACTCCTTCACACATCAAATGTACATACCTAGGGTATGTTGTAGTAAAAATATATTTAAAGCACACTATTTCTCAAGGTGGCGATACTATGGACTCTGGTGATATTATGGACACAGATGTTACTAAACAGGTTCATTTTCGAATGCAACTAGGCTTAGCATTATTGAAATTGAAGTTGTAGGTTACTTGGAGTAATTGAAGTCAGTGTTCTTGCATTTTCACTGCATTTTTCAAAACATAGAGAATTATCAAGTGAGGTCTTACTCACATATATTATAAATCTTGTAGCTTCCACTGTGGTTTTCTTTCCAGTCAGCTTTCCACTGCAAATACATACACATGTATTGACAAAATAAAATGTATGACATTGTGTTTTACAATGTATTATTACTCTGTAAGAAGTGTCAGTGGGAGATGGGAGGTAGCCTGGGAACCATCTGGATTTTCGCCGAAGCCTTGCGGAGCAAAAATCCGGATGGTACCCAGGCTAGATGGGAGTAGGAGGATGTTGCCTGACATGGGCCCGTACGGACGTGAAAGAAGAACAGAAAGAAAGGAGCACAAAAAAGACGTCTGCATGACAAGACTTGAACTCAAAAAGATTCACTTATCCTTAGACTGGATAATCAATCCTAATGTTGCTGTTCGGACGTTGAACGGACACTAACGTCGTCGCTCGAACGTCCGAAGGGCTAACCTTTTACACCTTAAGCCATGCTGATTTGATTATATGGATAACATCCTCTGGGAATCCCAAAACTGATGTGAGTGTGCAACTACAAAAAGGTTTTGCAAAAAAACAATGTTGCTTTCATTATTAAAAAAAAAGTACGTGGTCATGAAGGCTGAACAAATGACACAGAGTATGGTATAGTGAATAATCTACTCTTCAACTCCATTTCTTTACATTTTTGTCTTTTTCATTTGATTTTGGCACTCTATGACATTGGTATCGTTTTCCAATATTTTTTTTGGCAACTTACGGTTTCTATTTGCTAATTTTGCAACTGTTCTCTACGATTTGCAGTACAGACGAAAATTCATGCGCATGCAGATGTTATTCATATAATCAAATCAACATGGCCTTATCTACACACCTTTCCTACTACAGAATAGTGGTGGGAACTCAGTAGTCAGACAGCTCCAGACAGCTGGCTGTGGTGTCCACTCCCCCAGGAACTCTATCCCTCAAGTACCTGTATATGGAAAAAGGGAAACAGAGGTGCTTATTTACATGAAATCACATCATATTGTTATAATTGTATGAAATTAAACAACAGAATGTAAAATAAAACTACTGATAAACAAGAGATTTATAAATAATTAAATTTTGGTGCCATGTAAGTTAATGCACACTCACATGCAAAATTGGTAAATACATGTACCTATGGAAGCATGTGTACCAGAACAGGTGTGTATTTATTAGGTGCATTAGGTAATATTTGATTGATGTGCAAATATATATAGTGCAGTCTAATATGCACACATCTTGTCAGTTGGAATTCTATCAAATACTTATCTCATTACAGTCTGCACAAGAGACCCTGGAGTAGAGTATATGCCTAATACATGTATATTAGAATAGGAAGTGTCTATTAAAGATCATCCTGTCAAAAGTGCATTTTTCTGTTATTGACAGGATTGTCCTGTCAATAGTGCACTGGTTTTCCACTATTGACAGGATGGTCCTGTCAATGGATAACGAATATAATTCACCTCAGTGTCTCCAGTGTCGGGTGTTCCTCAGCAGCCTGCACCACAGCCTGGAACCCTGCAGGCTCCATGGAGATGTGCCGTAGGTTCAGCTGCTCCAGGGCAGGGAGTCTGGGTAGAGCCTCGGCCAGATCCATGGCAGCAGTGTCAGACAGGTGTGCAGGTTTGTCCCAGTCACCAGACATGTCCAGCCTGGTCAGTGCCGGCAGTGTGATGACCTGTGCGACCCTCACCAGTCCAGCTCCTGTTACTCCACTATTCCCCCCAATGTACAGCTCCTGTAGTGTGGTGTTATGGTGAGGGGCTGTGGTCAGACTCTTGTCACCAGGTGGGTTTTGTTCCCTGTACAAATTGCTGGGCTGACAGAGTGTTTGCACCAGTGAGACAATCCCTGAGTCTCCTATGTTATTGTCACTCACATCCAACACCTGTAACTGCACCAGGTGAGGCAGAGCTTTGATCAGGGATGATATTCCCCTGTCACTAATACCTGTCCTATAGAGAACTAACATCTTCATGGCTATGAGGTGGTGGAGGATAGCAGCCAGGCATTCCAGCCCAGGGTCTCCTATGGCATTTTCACTAATGTCCAGTCTGATCAGTCTGGTTAACTTACACAGTGCAGGGACCAGTGTGCGCATGCCTGTGGGGCTGATACGGGTCCCACTCAGGCCCAACACCTGCATGGCAGTGAAGGTGTGGAGGACGGTAGTGAGAGATGTCAGCCCAGTGTCACCAATCTTATTATCACTTATAAGCAACTCTCTCAGTCCCACTAGGTGGCGCATGTAGGGAGCCAGGGATGACATGCCCAGAGCTGTCATGCTAACTAACCTAAGACAGAGTGCAGTCAGGTGTGGAACACTGGACAACCCAACCTGTAGGACTTCCATGCCAGCATCACCAAGGAATAAGTTGAAGTCAAGATTCAGTTCCTCTAACAGAGACATGTGTCTGAACCCCTGCACAAGTGGCTGGAGTGAGGCTGGTGTTAGTTTTGTACCTGACAGACCCAGCTCCCTCAGACAGGGAACATTCTTCAGAACTGAAGCCAGCTTGGCTGTCAGATCAGGTGAGTCAAAATGTGCCCCGACTCCGAATCCCCCCCATAGTGTCAAGTCCAATCTAAGTCCAGGGAGAGAAGTCGTAAAACACTGCTGTAGGTACTGTACTTTGTCTCTGTCAGTGCTTCTATGGATCTTAAGTATGAGCCTGTCTGGCAGGTTTGCTGAATGGAGATTTTGTATGTAATACTTGAGACCTGTGGCTCCCCTACTGTTAATGGAGCTGTTCAGCATGACAACTGGCAGGGCTTGACTGATACCCTGAAGCACTTCTGGTTCTTGTCTCTCACTAAGGATGTTCAGGCACAAGTGTGAAAACCTTTCATAGGTTTTGCAAGACTTTTGCATGTTTTGATCCACTGGCACTTTGGCATAACTTTTGAATTGTTCTGGTTTTAAGTGTGCGAACTCTCTGCTGCTGAGCTTGCTTAGTTCCTCCATCATAGCTTGTGCTGCCTGTGAGTCACAGCCACATGTGAACTGAAGCAGGTTACTGAGTTCAAGTGTCTTGCTTATGGAGGTGAGCTGCAGCAGCTCAACTATGTTTTGGTTCACTTGAGCATGAGCTACATATCGTCTGGCTAGGAACTCTTGCATGGTCTTGTGTGAAAAGTTCAGCTGTTTCCTAGGATGCAATTTCGAGGAAGAAACCTCCAAGGAGACCACACCCAGCTTTAACAATAACTCACAATTAACCTTTTCTCTCTTTACTTCTGCAAGGTCAAGCAGGGTCTCATTCCTCAGCAGTGCCTCTAGTGCAAGCTTGCCGAGCTGCAGTAATGACTCAGCAACCTCTGTAGGCAGCCCCTCTGTTGGCATGTCCACTCCTTCCCGCTCACAGCACTTTCTGACCAGACATGTCAGCAGGTTGTCGTACAGCCGAGTCATTGTTCCAGTAGACACCATCTCTTGGTCCTCCTCCCACAGCAGACACAACAACAGCAGAAAGATTGGGGTTTGGATTAGGTTGTTTACAAGTTCGTTATCCTTCAAAGCTAAAACAGAAGTTTATTTTCGACTTTCTCTTTATAATGACTACCAGCAGACAAATCATCAACAAAGACTGAGTGTGAGTGAATGTGAATGAAATGTTTCCTGGTGAAAGCCTCTGCCAGCTCAGGGCTTTCTGTGATGAAGAAATATTTTCTCACATATTGTGCTGCATGCTCAGGGGAGAAGCCCATAATGTGTACGTGACAGTCTGGCCGGGTGTACTGCTGCACTCCTGCTGAGGGTCGGGAGGTGATCACAATCGTGCTGTTGGGGTACATCTTGCCAGACAGCAGTTTGGGAATGGCCTGCCCGGCTGCCCTGGCCTCAGGCCGCAGCTCATCATACCCATCTAGGAGGAAGAGCACACGGGACTCGTTTCTCTCAAGAATCGCTTCAATGCACTCTACATCAACATCTTTTCTTTTGGGCACACACTGGTCCCACACCATCTCCTCTATGGTCTCCCCCTCTCTCACCTCCCGGAGTCGGATCAACAGGACGATGTCGTGCAGTCTGCCCAGCTCTGTTTTCTGTGAGACGGCATCTAGGGCTTCTTTGGACAGAAACGTTGTCTTCCCCCTCCAGCTTCACCTCAATCAGAATGCACCTTGGTGCTGTGGACAGTCCTGTGACATCTGGCTTGAACAAGTCATCTAATGACTTAAGTCTTTTCTCTGTTCTCCCCTCATGGATTCTGACCTTTTCTGTTTTTCACTTTTTGGTATCAACTCTAACTGGGTGAAGATGTCACTGAGGCTAAGTGTGAAGTTGTCATTCCAGATCAGAGGCCTGAAGTGTGTCAGTTTCAACTCATAGTACTTCTTCACAGACTGCTGGAAAAGATCTGGAATAGAAAGGATACTGTAAGTCTGACCACCTTCAAATTTAGTGACTTATGCAAGACACTATTAATACATACCTCAGAGAAAAATTCTTGTCAGCAGGAACTCATGTTCATCAAGACTACTTACACACTGACATAATTTTATGGATGACATCCTTCGAAGACCCCCAAACTAGTGCCAGCAGGCAAAAAAAAATTCCAGCCAAAAATAAAAATGCTGCAAACTACACACAGGAATGCAAAACTGTATTGCAAATTTGCAGCAATACATACACATGCAGACACCTATTGTTGCTGGCTACAATGGACTACGGAGGATGGAACCCAGGCAAGAGCCTTGGAAGACGTGATCTTTTTTTTTAGAGAACGGGCAAAAATCAGTGCACGCGCGGATGTCATCCATAAAATTAAAATCAGTTCCTAATAGTAAAAATGTACATTTTTCTAAACACATTTAAAGGCTAAAGGGCATGTTAAAAAAACCTAGCTGTTGGCAGTACTAACTTAGATGAGCTTTCCTATTTATGTGTATTCAAGATACCAAATTTTGATACCTGTCTGATTGACACCTGTCACTGAAGAGGACTCTGTTCCTGGAACTTCTGAATGTGGACAAATGGGGATTATTATAATACATGTATATGTAACATTTTCTGTCTTCATAATCTTTTATCAAATTGTTTCTCTAAACATCAACCATAGGGATTTAGGAATTATTACAGACCAGAAGACTTGGGGTTCTGTCACACCATACCACAGTGATTTGAATCTTTAAAAGGGGAACAAGACATCAAAATGGACTTCATGGAGTCCATGGTTCTCATATATATGTTTTAACTTATAGCATATAAGTTAGAGATCAATACACAGAGTACAGAATACAAACACTTCATACCTTGAAGACCATCCACAACACTTTGCAGGTTTGCCTCAGACAGAGCCTCCATCAGGACCTCTATTGTGGCTCTCTCTCCGTTACCCTTCAGCCATTCCTCCAACAGGTCCATACAGCGAGACTTGTCATCCCGGTTTCTCCCATCGATGTTGTCCACATCTGGTCCTCGAAATCCAAGAAAGAAGGCCAGGTCCCTCCAATCTGAGCTCACATTTTCCTTGATGTAGTAGAAGTATTTTTGAACATCTGCAAAACAACATAGAAAAGAAGTTTTACTGATTGATATTAATGCCATTGATACATGTAATATAGCACACATTCATTCATTCAATAATTCCCAGTTCCAACAATACTGTTACTAGGGGTTAAAATAATTACCTACCAGCACTTGAAATACTGGGTGCACGTGCACCTTAGTGCACCCAAATTTGGAGCTGTACACCCAATTCTTTTCTGAGGGTGCACTGGTGCACCCAAATGTTTTTGTAGGTATTTTTGAATATATTAAATAATAGTATGCAGTATATTCTTGGCACCTAAGCATCAGAAAAATTCAAAATCTTTGTTGTAGTACTTTGATTTTGAAGTTAGCTCCCATTTCAGATTCAAGCTTAGAAGAGGAGCAGTAAGATGTATAATTTAGGATTTGTTTTATATCGTGCACCCCAAAAAAAATTTGTGCACCCAATATTTTAGGTTGGGTGTACCAGTGCACCTTTTCCCAAAAATAAATTTCGAGCCCTGCCTACTATAGTTGCATACTTGCAGGAAAACTACCTGCACCGCTTTTTTTCTTTGTCTTGACGGTCACAGACCCTAACTCTATGCCTGGTGCATACCTGCACTGCTACAATATTTCATCTGTACATTTTTGCAGGTGGTATTTCTAGCCCTACTTACTCACCAAGTGCCTACGTTGTACCACAGTGTTATACTATAAAAAAGACAACATATTTAACATCTCACCTTCCTCTATAAGGGGAACTGGTTTCTTCTTCACTGGAGACTGCTCTCCCTCCCCCTTCCTCTTCAGCTGGCTACTAGAGGGTCCAGGTGAACCTGTCTCAGAGAGATGGATTCACATATCAGTAATTATATCAACTCAGCTTCGATTCTGCAGTGCCACTGCTATCATAATGTACAATTACCAGTACATAGTTTTTAGGATGAAAAGTTTGGCCTAGGAAAAAAAATGTTGTGTTTCCTGTAGTGCTGTGTACTGGTTCGCTGGACTGGTTCCGGACTTGTAAAAATGTTTAGGTTCAAGTTAAAAAAAACCTAAACCAATTCCAGACTTATTAAAAAAAAAAAAAAATCATGTCACCCCATTTCTTTCCAAAACACCTGAAACCTACCATTGCAAAATTTGTGCTGCAATTAAAGAAGAAAACATTGCCATCGGGCATCGTCAAGTGTCAGCCTCCATGTTATGTGGCCCAAGTTTTGCCCAAACAACATTGCAAGGTTGCCAACATGCAATGTACATGCCATGGGTTTAGGTCTGAACTTACGAGTCCGGAACTGAACCTAAACCTCTGGACTTAAATCCGAACCTGAACCTAAATACATGTTTAGCTACACAGCCCTAGTTTCCTGTTTCCCCGCCAACCCTAGAAAAAAACTCCTGACCCTATGTCCCTAGTCTTTCTTTTTTAGTGGACCCCTGCAAGGGACATACATTTTTCAAGCTAATCAACCTTTTCTAGCCCCATGATCTGACACCTGAGTGATAAAATGTTGTACAATCAGTTTTCCAACATTGACATTGAAAAATATACAAGTGTCCTCATGCAAGTTTTAATTTATTAAACTGCTTTGTGTAAGTTGGATCACTTGTCTTTATCGACATCTGCACTATTGGTCCAGAATAATTAACAATCTCACCTGAGCAGCCGGGTGCACCTTGTCCCTCGGCCATGATGACACAGGTGTCAGGTACAGGTGAGAGAGAACACCTGGAACAGACAGGTGTGAGGTTACATCTTTAGGTAGTACCAGTTCTACTTAAGTACTGGTAGGTATTGGATCTATTGCCCCATTGCTTCCTACATTGTATGTGAGGTAAGCCGTAAGCAATTATTAATATATACTATTATTAACTACAAATGTAATCTCCAAGCAGATCTTTTGGTGGGGGTAAGACAGTATCAAATTGGCCAGTCTGTATCCATTTCCCCACCCAAGTGGGGTATCCATTTCACTTGGGTGGGGAAATGGATACAGACTGGCCAATTTGATACTGTTACCCCCACCAAAAGATCTGCTTGGAGATTAGTTTTTAACTGAAATTATGCTCATCTGTCCTCATTATTTCACCATAAGACCAAATGTTGTTGTTGTTGTTGAAGTCATTATTTAACGTCTATTTTCCTCGCTAGACATAGTCTCTAGGTGCTTATAGACCAAATCTCTGGTAGCCGCGGCGACTGTTGCAGGGCTTCTCTTGCCTGCAGTCTTTTACATTAGCCCTAACAACAGGCTAGGGCTAATGTAAAAGACTGCAGGCAAGAGAAGCCCTGCAACAGTCGCCGCGGCTAAGTCTCTGGGTGCTTATAGACCAAAGCAAGGAGCTTCTTCCTTGACCAAAGCAAAGTTTCAAACAGGTCTCAAACAGTTACTGTTTTTAGATCTTTGTTTTTCCGACACAACGTTGCCGACAAATCTGGTGGATCTTGAGACACTGAACAGTCGACAGACGGGATCTGTACTTACTTTCTTCATGGATGTTCCCAGAAAACTTCCTTCAACTTTTGGAGCAGACTTCGACGCACTTTTTACTTCCGCTTTTTCGCCATTTTGGAACTAGGAACAGTTTATTCGACAATGGGGGTTGGATCTAAGTCAAACGCAAAAAAACACCATTTAGCAACCTAAACAAACAGATTGATAGGTGATTTTAAACTATAATTGAGTATCAATTGAGTATTAAATATTATTTGCAAGCTCCGATCCTGAGCTGCGCAACCAGCTATAAATATAATACACTACGCTTTGACTCCTGCGAGGTAAAGAAAATGATCTGTTCCGTGAAGGTGCCACGCCAATAAAAGTTTTTGGCGGCGCCACAGGGGTGGTGCCTATGGGGTAGCCTTAGGCTCAAGTTGAAGATATAAGAATGCCCTATATGAAGGACATCGTCCTTGCCTACATCATTACCTAGTAGGCTTGGTTACACCTCATACTTTTGCTACTCTGTAGCTGAAACGTTACTTATGTGATTTTTGTGAGCAAAGGGGCCTTTTGGAGTGATCGAATCATTCATCGCCTACAAATGTAGCTGACATTTATGTTTTTGGTCATTTTACCGTGGAATAGGTATGGTCCCCGGTCACGGGAGAACTGGTCTGTTCACCATTAAACTTTTTCTGTTCAGTTTTGGTTAATTATGTTAATCTGTACCTCTGTTCTCATGATTTGCGTACCATATATTTCATATCTTCTACTGGTGTCATATAAACCCACATGGGCCGGGTATTTCATTCATTCATTCATTCATTCATTCATTCATTCATTCATTCATTCATTCATCCATTCATTAAATTCATTCACTCATTCATCCATATGCCCCTATGCATACTCTCATCCATAGGTGTGACAAGTTCTTTATAACATGCTCAAGGCGCATCACAAGAAACATACAAGACGAGAAAAGCGACGAAATGAAAACAGACATTCTTCACCATTAAAAAAAACTTCATCGCATTTATTGTTTTCCTGTTTTTACATCAACATCATTAAAGCGTTACCAATCTGGATACGAAGTCTTAACACCCTCTGGTGCAAAAACATACGTTCAAGTTCAAGAATGATTAATATGTTATCATTATGCTGCACACATCTTTTCTAACCTATCATCGTTATCATCATCATCGAGTCCTCTTGGACAAAATAATGGTTCATTACACAATATTTGTGTCACACTTTTCCTTTAGCGAGCCAATCTCCTGATGACTCTAACAAGCCATGCAGTATGCTTCTGTCCTAAGGCTTTGTCCTTTCTGGACTTCCTAGACTTGATGAAAAGAGCTCGCCAGACGCCGGTGAAGCAGCCTGTCTTCTTCTTAGATTTCTCATTTTCAACCTCAGGAGTGCCATCCAGAAGAGTTTCCACCATCTCTCCCTCGAGTGGTCTGTCCACCATCTCTCCCTCGAGTGGTCTGTCCACCATCTCTCCCACGAATGGGGTGTCCACCATCTCTCCCTCGAGTGGGGTGTCCACCATTTCTCCCACGAGTGGGGTGTCCACCATCTCTCCCTCGAGTGGGGTGTCCACCATTTCTCCCACGAGTGGGGTGTCCACCATCTCTCCCACGAGTGGGGTGTCCACCATCTCTCCCACGAGTGGGGTGTCCACCATCTCTCCCTCGAGTGGGGTGTCCACCATCTCTCCCACGAGTGGGGTGTCCACCATCTCTCCCACGAGTGGGGTGTCCACCATCTCTCCCTCGAGTGGGCTGTCCACCATCTCTCCCTTCAGTGGGCTGTCCACCATCTCTCCCTTCAGTGGGGTGTCCACCATCTCTCCCACGACTGGGGTTGCCACCACCTCTCCCTCCACAGGAGTTTCCACCATTGCTGTCTCAATGTCCGAGGCTCCCGGCACATGCAGCACATTGTTAAGCGTCCCAAATGCGTTAACTGTTGTCCGCTGTGATGAAAGAAAAAAAAGGAGCCATTAGTTGAAAGCAAAGTATTTTTGTACAACAGTCATTATGTACCTGTTTATGCATGCGGTTGCCTCTCTGTATAAAAATCTTCGCAACCACTTTAAGGCCTACATGTATATATGTATGTTGTGGTTTTCTAAATTCCCTTCAACTCTGTCTGAAATCTTTATGTTGCCTCTTCCGAATTACCTCTTTTAATACTTTGAATGTTGTCCCTCGGTAAAGTTGGTAAACTCGAGAATACAGAGATATCTTGCTCCATTAATGTCTTACAATTCTGCCATACAAATTTTAATGACAAATGTTAATTACAATGGATTGTTTAAGAACTAAAATAACTGTCAATATACTTAGCTTTCCTTTATCTTCTCAAAAGTAATGCAAAGCTGTATTACTAGAGCTGATTTGGAAAGACTACGGTTAAAAGTCGATAAGAAATGGTGTAGACGTATTTACCATATTTGGATGGTGGAACCATTCTCCATTGACTGACCGATACTTGAACTCGTACCAGCCCGGGCCGAGTCTGAGTACCACGTCGTACTCGTCGACGCTGTCACTGCAAAAAAAAAAAGAACAAAACATCATGTAAAAGGTCAAACTTGAAACACACAAACTTTGGTAACTTTCGGCATGTTAAAACTGCATTATGTAACATAAGGGCGATCAAAAAAATTCTGTCCATTCTTTTAAAAAGTACGAATAATCAAGTACTCAATTAGGCCACACCGATTTAATTTTATGGATGACATCCTCTGAAGACCCCCAAACTAGTGCGCGCGGGCGAAAAAAATAAAAATCCGGCCAAAAATAAAAATGCTACAAAACCACAGGAATACAAACCTGGTATTGTGAACTTGGCGCATTACATAGCGACGTATACGACAGGCCGACACATGCTGGATTTTTGCGGAATATATGAATCGACACTGCTGTACGTATGTACTGAGTTCTTGAGTCTTGGAGCTTCGGTAGCCTGGCTGCCGTCAACCAGAGTTATCACCACCATGCACTACCCAGGCCTAAAGCCAGGCCAGAGCCTCGGAATACGTGATTTTTTTTTTTTTTTTGAGATCGGGCGAAAATCAATGCGCGCGCGGATGTCATCCATAAAATTAAATCGGTGTGGCCTTACAATTAAATAAGTGCCATTCGGGATGCCAAAACATGATCACTTACGAGTATATTTGATACTGAAGTACTAGTGGTTAGTAACGCAACTGCCAGTCATGTTCGTTTATATTCTGATAGTTTGTGGTGGCACCACAAACTGAGTGCACCTCGTGTTTTTTTATCGGTAACCATAAATGTCAGAAATGTGTGTGATAATTGTACGAATATGTGAAAGCTAATTCCAAAGATTTGAACCCCAAAAATATCTCTTCTTTTTTGGGCGGGGGGGATCAAGTCTTACATAATGCGCCTTTAAGGTCCAATAAAAATGCTGATGACTGTGACATCGTCTTACCTCTCAGTGACCCTTCTGCCGTTTTCCCAAGAATCCCAACTTCCAAAGAGAAGGGTCTCTTCAGAAAGTGGTCCCTTCCAGACCACGGTCACAATCCGAGACTCAGCCAACATCGTCTGTGGACAGAGACAGGTTTGGTCAACATCATTTAATAGTTTAATAGTTATTTAAACTCATTCACAGTTCAGTAACAATTCAGTTACTCATGGACCTGTTCATAATTCAGTAACAATTCAGTTATGCTTCGGTCCCAATTGAAAAAAGGGGCCCTGCCGGGTAGTCCCCTGGCTGTTTTTGGCACTTTCGGGCGTGACCCCTACGTGGCCCCGCGGGACACCCTGTGACTACCGGGCTATTTTTCGGCCCGGCAGGGACCCGAGAAGAATTTAATTCTGACTTAAATTCTACCCGGGCCCCGCTGACAAAAATACGCCGTGACCGATCCGTGAGAACACCGACAGGTGCCCCTCTGGTTGCCGGCAGTCCACAGGGACACATTTCTTTCGTCACAGACCAGATAAACAGAATAAAGGTGTATACTTTGTAAACCCAGGTAAAAAGTGTGACGTCATAGATCAAATGATCACAACAAAAGCGTGAATTCTGCATTACGTATAGATCAGTACAACACATCGTCAGAGAATCTGCCGGGTGCCTGCCGGAGACCGACCAAATTTTTAACAAAATGCTACTGAAGGAAACTTTCAATTGTGAACATGACAGCCGATGCCCGCCCGACTCCTGAGCCCGACCGGGGCCGGCCGGGGCTACATCCCCGACGGGCACCGGCGCAATTGGGACCGAAGCTTTACTCATGGACTCGTTCACCATTAACAAAATACGGCAGATGATATATCGATTAGAGACTACATGTACCATCAATGTATATTAAAAGAATGTTAAAATCTAATACATGTATTCAACATACACGATTATGAACGACCTTTCTACGAATAAAAGGAATAATTAGAATCTATTGAAACCATTGTTCAATTAGATATAGACTAACAAGATCAAGATTCTTGAGAAAAACTGAATAAAGTCGAAACCGGTCGAATTCCGTCTCATTGTTGTTATTCTTACATCGCTACGAATGATGTAGACTTACAAGACCTTAACAATGGCTTTCAATGTGAAATTGGTTTTATCTATATGATAAGTGAGGTGTCAAAAAGATAAATCCTATTACAAACTCTTGTACTTACCCGAGATGTGGCGTCACCGTGATCGTAGTGATCTGCACGCCCTGACGTTTCCGCCAGGGGCGCTTCCTGCACCGTGTCAGACATCTTCTCAATACTAGAAGCTGTAAGAGAATAACTACGTTAGTGTGATACAGTGAAAACTCAGGTAATTTACTTGTATCGTAGACAATAACCGGCTGGTATATAGCGATATATCAGCTGGTGTGTTACGCCGAAGGGTGGTTATACCGGCTATACAGATCCAGATCCAACCCCTTGACTACCATGCATGGGTGCCAGAATAATATCGGGCAGTTTAATAGCCGTTTTCCTTCGGCAGTCAAGAGCCCTTCGCCTGTGTATCTAAATTACCGCTACGGGGGAGTTGTGCCCAGGAGAATTCGACCGGCCCTAGATAGGCTCTTGCCTAGCTGCTGAAGGAAAACGCCTAAAGGCCCTTGACATGTGTTAGCATAAAAGGTCT